TCTAAAAGTCATGTATTTTTTTATATTGACCCAATGAAGATCAAATTATGACTTCAAATATCGAAAATTTTGTGATTTGTGTAAATTGTGTTATTAATATTATTCTTTTAATTTCTACATTAATCTGTATAATGTACGCATGTAATGAATTTACTTTTCGTACATTCATATACTAAGGGAACAGTATTTGTTATTTGTAACTATAATAACAATATATATGGCAATATATGGTAAAGTTATTATAGTTAGGAGCCTTGTTTTTATGGTTATTACTGTTATTATAATGTGTAGTAATAATAATTATATTTATAGTTTTATCAAACAATTATGTGTAATACATATTTGGCGCTGAAAATCACTATACATTATAGTTAAATTATTAATAAATGTAATCATCTTTTTCTTTCAGTACAGAAGCAGAATTCCATGTGCAAGGAAAGATTTCGTACGGATTTAGAATGAACAGAAAGTGAAAAATACAAAAAATGTCGCTCGAAGTTACATCACTGCCTAGAATATAATTCTTTGAATCTGATCAACATATTTTATAATCAATGAATTATGTATTGACAATCACTTACGAAGGTCTTTGCCAGCACCTAACAACACCCAGGAATCAGATGAGAGGAAGCCGCCGTGTTGAAGGAACACTACTTTTCTTCTCTGTTGATCTTTAGATAAAGGACTTTCTGGTATTCTATGTATTACCAAGTTGTAACCATCTTCCGTTGTAACATAATGCTCCTCGGCAGGATAACCATGTCTCTCTATTAAACCAATCTGCATAGAGATATAGAATTTTAGGAAAAAATTAAAGACATTTCATTGATCGTAATATCTGAAGTAACATAAAATTTAGTTATTTTTTAGTAAAAAAAAGATAATTTAAAGAAGATAAAACAAAAAGTTTAAAATTAGCACTTTCAAGATTCTTGAGAGATTTAATCGACAACAGGCAACTGAGACTCGACACGGCGAATATGCTGAATTGATGCTTCGAATTGTTTCGATACTGACTCGAATAAAGTCAAAACGTTTGTAAAACATTATGTATTATTGATTGAAATTATATTACTGATTAAAAATCGTATATATTATATATTTGCACTGTTTAAAGCGCCGACTCCTAATAGTCCCTTTTTCCCACAACATTGTTTTTTAAAGATTTCAAGAGTATTATCTATCTACTAACGGTGTCGACATTATTTTTAAACATCTTGTAATTTAGAAAGAGATGTTTCTTTTAGACAATGTTGTTTTACTCAGTATATTTATTGTTTGAACAAAAATATTTGATAACTACATTGCTATTAATTATAAAACACCTTGCTGTACATACAATTGTTTATAGCGAGATGTTTTATGTATCAACAAGATATTTTGTTTAAATAATCTTCTAATTAAGTATTATTTTTTCAAATATGCCTTTGAAGAGACAAAATATTAAAAAACAATCTTGTACTTACAAAATCCAATGTGGTTACATTGTTCCCTATTTTGACATCTTCTGGCTTCCTAACTCTTACTATACCAGAATCCTTAGAATACTGATAATTAAGCAAGGCTTTCAAAACAAATTCTAAGTCTTCTCGCAGATTTTCTTCTGCTTCCAATAACATTATTGTAAGCATAAGTATAAAGGATACAAGTTTCACGTTCATTCTCATTATATTGACGATATTCGTAGTTATAAACTGTGTATAATTTGTAAGTATCAATTACTTGATACAAAGTTAATTTTATGGAACTTGTCTTTGTTTGAATTTTAACAAACCTATAAATGCATTGTTATGCAATTAGCATTAGTTAATAATTATTAACATTAATTTTTTTAAATGTAATTATAAAAATTATCATTAAATATAAAATGTATTAATTTTCATTTTTGTGACATTGAGTAGTTACTAATTAAATTACAATTACAATATATAAAATTGTATCAAACAATTTTGTTTAAAATAAATTTAAATTTTGTTGTTTGCTTAAATAATTAAAGATTATTATGTGAAAATTATCGACATTATAAATTTTTACTGTTTTCATTTCTTACAAATTATTATCTATATAATTATTATTTTTAAATGTCTTTACAAATATTTTAAATATATTCCTTTTTGCTTATTAAACAAATTTTAAATAAAAGTTTTAATACAAATTATTTATTTTCAAATAAAAATATGTAATTTTTATAATAATGAACTGGAATTCCTAATTTGTTTTTTCTAATCGGTATTAATTATGCATAGTTTTAACTTGCAGAACAAAAATTAGGATGAATGTAAATTATATGAATAGGTAGAAAGGTTGGAAAGGATTCATTCAGATTATGTGTATAAAAATTGTTAGACACAGCAATCGATCATGGTAGTATGATATATAATTAAGGACTGTTTATAAAATGTTTTATTGAAATGTCTTAATTGATTTATATCAGATAGTAGGAAATAAGAACTATTGTTTGTATGTTTCTGTTTCTTACATTGTCATTGTTCATGCACATTTCATATTAATGTATTAATGTACTTGTGCATGTTTTCTATTACTATTAATAACTATTAATGTACTCACCAATATGTCTAATTAAAGCACCTTAAATTATCTGTCAAAAAGAAAGATATATCTTTAGCAATAATTAAGTTATACGATCTCAGATGTGTTCTGATTTTATAGTTCACAATCGTTAACTGTTAGGTACGGCGGATAAGTGGAAACTATTAAAAACATTGATCGTACAGCTCAAATAAGTACATATTACGCAGATACGTTGCAGCTCATAGCAGCAATACATATATAATTGATTGTTATATAAATCGTAAAGGTCGTATGGAAGTATGACCTTCAGTCAATCGATTTTTATCTACGGCGCTATAAAATTAAACCTGATTTGCATAAATAGACTATCATTACCTTGTTGAAAAAATCTATGTGGAAATCCACATGGAAATCCATATGGATTACCATGGTAATTTGGGCCAAAAATCCATGAATTTTCACATGGAATCCATATGGAATTCATATGTAATTTATGTGGAATTTATATGAAATTCGTATGGAATCACATATTACAGATTCTACAATAAGACTTATTATAAATAAATTACCAGCCGTTATATATAAACAATAAAAAAGATAGAACAATAGGCCAAAGACGAGCATAAAACAAAGGGTGTCAATTAATAAAAATTCTTTAATAAGTCATTTAAATAAAATTAAAATAAAAAAAACGCGAGACTAGTTTCGG